ATAAAAAAAATTGAGAGAGAGAGAGAGCTGTGTCTAGCAGCTCAAAGTTAAGGCTTTCAACTAAAAATGCTGTCTAAGATCCATAACTTAAACACCAGCATTTGTCTCTTAGGTACCTACCAACTGACAAGCTAAGTAGCACAAACACTATAAAGGAGCAGTCTGAGTGTTGCCAACACTCCTTGGAGACATGTTCCAACTCACTTTGGAGTCTCTAATGTTGACTACAGTAAATTAAGCAGTATAAAAACTACAGCAAGAGAGAAAAAGTAAAGAAAGTTTGATGAGTTTAGCTAGAAACAACAGGACTCATTATTGTATATGTCAAATGCTCTGCCTGTGTCTATCTTTCAAGAATATGTTAGGTTGACTTTGAAGGATATATCGGGATCTGCTCCAGACTGAAGTCTATTGCAGACTATGCCTCTACTTAGCCAGACCAGTAATTCAAAGCTGCACCTTTACAGAGGTTTCCTGATAGAGAAGTGGAATAAGTGGATTCCTTCATGGAGTTTGCATGGGCAGAGCTATTAAGGGGGGAATGGGGGCAATTTCCTCTACTGAACTTTTGAGAAGTTCTATTTTGACATCTAATTTAAATATAAAAAAATTCATTTCCCCCTCTGACATTAGACAATTTTTTAATAAGCAATGACACTCACACCAGCTTTAAGCCTCTCACACTCCGTTTTTTGCCTTTAGGCCTCTCATAGGGAAGTATGAGAACCTAAAATGGAGTGAATATCATTGTTCCTTTACTGTCTTTTCTTTCTATTTTTCTGTTTTGTTTCCTAACAACACTATTTGCCCTTGTGAAGGCAAACTTGTCTTTTTGTACTCTCTCAAAAATCTCAGACGTTGCACAATCTTCAATTTCTTTCACTCCATTGGATGCAATTGCAGTATCAACTAGTTGCTGAATTTTCACAAATCTACGAAGCTTCATGTAGCCAAGCCCAATGTTATTTTGTCTTGTTTCAAGGAATCTTATAGATAGTTCTTATGCTCTAGTTCTATGTTACATGGGCTCTTCAAAATAAATCAAAGGGCTCTTCAAAAAATCAAATACCCGTTACGGACACCCTACACTTGGACAAAGGTATGGGACATGTGTCCAATACTTTACATCAAATAAAATTATCATTATATATATTTATTGTTTTATAATTGCTATAAAATGAGTAAAATATCTTTTTGAAACTATATGTTACATATAACACTATTTTATGTCACATAACAGATTAAAAATATAAAAATATGACCACTTTTTGCTGAGTCCACACACCCTTAAATTTGAGATTTGATGGGTCCAACCCTCTGTTACCTGGAACGTAGATCGTTCCGGTACGTGGAATGGGAACGGAAACGGGGAACATGATACATCACATGCTCTAAAATGTAATACGATAGAAGTAGTCTTGTATATATCATGCTTAAAAAATTAAGTTACTTTAGAGTAATTTTCTTTTAACTATTAGGTATCCAAGAAATATAGTTTTTATTATTATTATTATTATTATTATTATTTCATGTAGCAAAATATTTCTATGAGCATTATGACTCATTTTTTTTATGTTTTTGTCCTGTCAACACTTAACTCACCTTAAATTATAGTTCATTATGTTTTATTTTTTCCTTCCTAACGTAACATTTAAAAAAATATATTAGTAAAATTTATGGGATCGTTTCGAATCACTAAATTTATCGTTTTGAAACGGAAGTGTACCATGTTTCAAAACGTGTGTACCAATACGTAATTCGCTAGGATATTAGCATTTTCTAATAACATAGGTCCAACCTTGAGATACACACCTGCACCTAACACCCATACCCAAGGAAAATTCTATTTCCACACATTTAAATACATCGGTGCACATTTTTTCTTAGTACACACACTTATTAATTCAATTATTAATTAATTTTCTCAATCCACACATTAGTTACAATTATACCCTTTACTCGTAACCATTGTACACACACCACTCAACCCTCCGTTCCACACACTTGTTGAGTAACCCTACTTCCATATTTGTACCCTATTAAACCTCTATTGAAAACACCATTGAAAACCTCCAAAATATTGTTGAAGATGAGGCATCTTTCCATTTTGTTATTATATTTACCATTTTGTTATTACATTTACCATTTCCAGATCTCTGTGCACTCCATTGCCATAAAACCCTAGGTTATTTTATTTTATTTTTTATTTTTTTCAATTTGGGGATTTTGGCACTAATTTTCCAAAAAATTATACATTTAATTTGAAATTTAACTTCTGAATAAAAGTGATTAGTTTGACAAATTTGTTTTGAAAAATAATAATAATAAATTCGACAATTGATGTCCGAATATAATGAAATAATTTGGTAGTTGATGTCCGAATATAATGTAATAATTCGGCACTGGTTGTCCGATTAAAATCTGCAAAAAGAAAGAAAAAAAAACTGCACGAAAAAACTAACATTTTCATCACTAATAGAGTATAAACCTAAAGATTAAA